ACGTTTCCACCATGACAAGACTATCTCAAAGAACTGGTGAACAGGACTACAATATAGATCTGACCCTGATCAAAACAGGTGGCGAAGCTTTTACACAATGAAGTGTACTGGCAGATCACGGTAGCGACCACCTGCCATGCTCAGTTCTTATATCAAAGGGTGGAAAGACAGTGAGACAAAAGGTAAAGAGGGTGTTTAAGTACAAACCAGACACCTCGGTCTCGGGAGGCCTGAGAAAGAAGGCCTGGAACAGAAAACCCTCAAGATCTAACGTTACGCAGCCACCATGGTGGAGCAATGAAATCGATTGCCTGTGGAAAGAGAAGAGGAATGCTGTTAAGGACTGGCAAAGAAAGAGGAAGAACCCCATTGTCACTGAGGAAGAAAGGGAGGCAGCTAAAGAGAATATGAGGCAAGCCCGAGATAAGTTCAAAGCTGAAGCACATCTGGCCAAAACAGCAAAGTGGAAAGAGTTTGTAAAAAACATTGCAGCTGAGAAGGCACTCTCAACGTTCTGGAAACTGCGAAAGAAGATGTGTGGACAGGGTCACTCAAAAACCACCGTGAATGTGAAGGACGAGTCAGGAAAGACACTCCAAACTGATGAGGAGAAAGGTAGGGCTTTCTTGGACCGATTCATCCATCAAACACACCAGGGAAATATTGACTCAAGAAAGGAAGTTGAAAGAGATGTTTCTAGAGTGCTAACACCAGAAATGTATGCAAACTACGAGGATGTGATATCTACAGAAGAGGTTTCCAGAACGATAAAACATGCCAAGGACAGTGCTGGAGGGCTGGATGGTGTAAGATATTGCCACATGAAAGAGGCAGATGATGAGATGATTGAAGGAATAACAAAAGACTTCAACAAAAGCACTGGCACTGGTGAAATCCCTGAAGAATGGTTGCACAGCTGGTTAATACCAATCCCCAAACCAGGAAAAGACCACTCGGCTCTCAGTGGTTACATGATGATAGCCATGCAGAACACCTATGGGAAAATTCAGGAAAAGATAGTTGCCGGACGAATATCGGCACACTTAGAGAGGAAGTCCCTGTTGCCAAATGAGCTTGGCAGCTATAGACCCCATCGAGAAACCTCAGTAAATACGGCTGTCATGGCGTACGACATCCATGAAGGCTTTCAGCAGCGGAAGGAAAAAGTTGTGACGGAACTTGACCTTGAGGATGCTTACAACCGAGTCAGCTATAAACGTTTGATCAACCGCCTCCTGGAATTTGATGTAGACATATGGCTGGTGAGAGAAAGATGGCCCTGAAACAGGGTGAATGGACTTCAGATCCGGTATCAATTGCTCCTGGACTGCCCCAAGGATCCCCCCTCTCTCCTGTGCTTTTCAATGTGTACACTGCACAGGTAACGATGCATCAGAAAGAATTTGGACGCGTCCTGAGCTTTGCGGATGACATAATGGCATACGAGCAAGGAGATGACAGACTTCAGATGGCAAGGAACATGGAGAAAAGACTTCACTCAGTAGTAAAATGGTGCGACCAAAATGAAGCAGTCATCAATCCTTCAAAGGCGCAGGAACTTTGGTGTTCCCTCAACAACAGGATTGTCCAAGACATAATTCCACCAATCACATGCAACTATGAGATTATCGACATACAGTCAGAGCTGAAGTATCTGAGAATCATCTTCGACAGGTCGTTGTCCTTCAACAAGCATGTGAATCATGTGGTAACAAAGGCCAAACGAGGTGTTGGTGCAATCAAGACCATGGCGGCCGCTCTGATTCCGCAAAGAGTGCTCTTCCTGATGTTGCAGCTGGTCGTCCTGTCTGTCATTGATTACGGATTGGGCTGTCTCACGCTGTCCGGCACACAGATCGCAAAGCTGGATCGAGTGCAGAATGAGGCAATGAGAGCAGTTCTGGGCTGCACCAAGGACACTCCAATATTGTGCATGCGCTACTTGCTAGGTTTAAGTGGCATCAGAGTACGCCATAGGATAACTCAGGCAAAGATGTATCTCAGTGTAAGGGGCAAGAAGGATCATCCACTTCACAAAGCACTTCATGACAACAGGGGAGTCAGAATCAAGAGAGGAAAATCTTGGATGGTGGAAGCAGAGGATTCCATGAGAACAATCTGTGTACCTGAGAGCTTACCACAGGCGAAGAATGGGAACAGGTGGCCAGAGAATACAGGGACCTCACCAAGGTCAAAATAAACGTTGCGGCTGCCATCAACGAGAGCGATATCAACGAGATTGTTGACACAAACTCAAAAGCAGGGGATCCTATAATTTATACAGATGGTTCAGTGAAAAGAGATGGCCAGAGAAGTGGATGGGGATTTGTTGCATTCGCCAACAATAAAATCATACACAGTGCATCTGGAGCCTGCAGCAGGGCTACATCAAGTATGCGTATGGAAATTGAAGCCATCACGAAAGCACTTGATTGGATGACCCAAGATCGCCCCCACACAACCCATGCTGTTTTTGTCACTGATTCCATGTGTACCCTCAGAAGGATCGAAAAAGGTTTCCTGAGAACAGAATGGATTCAAATTGTCGAACCAACCCCTATACGATCACTCACATGGATTTTCTGCCCTGGCCATGCAGGTGTTAGGGGAAATGAAAAAGCCGACAGATTGGCTGGTGAGGCCACCTTGGTTGACAATACGGTTCAACCAGATAGGGTCGAGATCCTGAAATGTCTCTCTCGCCAGCTGATTGAGGAGGAAGATAGGGAGGCAGAGGCCAGTACTGCCGTGGAGAGGATGATGCTTTTGGGAATAAAAAAAGGAAGCAGAAAATCTGGCATCCTTGCAGGAAAGAACAGAAAAACGTTCAACCAGATGTGCACTGGCACAATCAGTAGAAGGACCCTCGGCAACATTTTGGAGAGAGCAACGGAGCATCAATGGACATGTCCGGAGTGCAGGGATGTTGCTTCCTGAAACAATAAACAATAAACAATAACCTTGTCTCTGGACTTTAGAAGACCCTCCCACTCTCCGTTAGAATTCAGTTTACAAAGAATGTCTCCTTACGTATATCAGAGGCTTCATACTGCATTTATAGCTTGGTCTTCTTTTTGTCTACCCGACCTGACAGTATTGTGGACAACAATTTTGAAAAAATCATGGGGGAAAATATGATCCACAAATTTCGCTTTAGACCATAGTCTTCGTGAAAACAATTATAAAAATTGAAGATCTGAAAAAGACTTTTATTTGAAGCCACAGCTCAATGACGCCGTGCATACTTTCTACTTGCATATAAGATTTTGTTTTCAAATTCGTGTTTGCTCTAGTGAAAAATACACTCATGGGATTAGAAATAGATGCAATTTTGTGCTAATACACACACACTCACACACACTAACACACACACTAACACACACACACACGCGCGCGCGCGTGCACACAATTAGCTGTATAATAATATATTGTTATAACCTTCTATGCCTATGTGCACGTTGAAAAAAAGTCCATCAAACAACTTGTGAATTCATTTGCAATCAATTCACCTAGTGTCTTGTGTCATAAGTAATAGATGGCATCATACGAGGTCGCATTGAAGATTATGTGCATGTTTCTGTAACAAGAGCTGGAGGAATTGATAGACAGTGACAAAAGTACACCCTGAAGATTCATGCATACCATTACAATGTCTTCTTGCCTAAGAGCAAAGGTTTTATCCATGGCGTGCCCTTTCTTTGTCACTTTCTTTTCAGACATGTGAGATTCTCACTTAGTCTGGCTGACGTTTTCTAGACTCAAAACTCACGCACAATTCACATTGTTCCTTTTTTGGCTCACATGTCGACATGGTCTTTTCAGCTATCACATACTTGAGTAGCCTGACATACAAGGCAGATTGTCCCTGACCTGTTTCGTAAAACAAATGAAGCTCCGACAGATTACAGAATCAGGGATCAAGATACTGTTTTCCCGAGCTTTGCATGTCCACACATGTGAACAGAGACTCCTTGGCTTGCACAACCCTTGTGGATTGTTTGGTGGTGCAGCTGGGTGGGCTCTTCTAAAGCACTCTTTACAAAGTACTGGAGGATCCAGGTTGTCACCAACAAATGCCCGAGGAAGTTCCTCAGGATCAGATGGACAGACAGAGTCACCAATGAGGAAGTAATGAGCAGAAAATTTTCAGACAGAAGAAAGCTGTGGAGATGGACTGGACTGAGCATACCTTCTAGAAATCAGGCAGCTACATAAAGAATTTTTAAATTTTTAGTCAACAGGTTACACGATCGTGGAAGGCCTGTACAAAAGTCGCAAAGAATGAAGAACAGAAAAGTGGAAAGACATGAAAAATATGAAGAAGTTAGCCCAGGGTAGGGAATAGTGGAACATGTTTGTCCGTACGGGGTAAGCCCGGGGATGATGAAACTGGCATGGGCTACTCTAGAGCGATTTATAATGGGTGAGCCCAGTCATAGATATCAACATCCTGCAAACTTTGATCTTCTGGTCATTCTGTTTCAGATAATAAACCCAAGTGTGCATCTTTCAGCTTGGTGTATCGCATTTAATTAAAGTGTACTCTCTCGTGTTGAGAAGATCGTTCACATAGGTATTTCTGTCTCCCCATGTCAAAGTCCAAACAAAGACAAACATAGTTGTTCTGTCTTTGTCTTTTAATAGTGAGTAATCATTTGATTTGGTTGAGCAATCACATCTGGGTTTCAGTTCATTAGTTTTCTTCAATCGACCTATCTCTTGATTTGTATTGCTTATTGCTGATTATTGAGGACAAGCGAGGCAGTAAGCCCAGAACAACACACTAAGGGAACCTAAACAAATGGGTAACAGGAAAAGATCAGGGAAACGTAGCTTTTTTGAGAGCATCTGAGCAAAGGAATGAATGGAAAACCATGATCGCCGATGTCTGTCGCAGATCTGGCATTGGATGATGATGATGATGATTGCTTGCCCCCCCCCCCCTCTCTCTCTCTCTCTCTCTCTCTCTGCTCCCCTCCTCTCTCTCTCTCTCTCTGCTCCCCCCTCTCTCCCCCCTCTCTCTCTCTCTGAGATTAAAAATGCACCTTCCAACGCATTGTGTACTTTGAATTACACTTTTTTTCATAGAAGTCTGGTTCTTCTTCTATTTCCTGCATCTACGAAACACACATTTTAATTTATGTGACAGAGGTTTCCCCGCAAAACACATGCAGTCGATGTCATAAATTATAACCTTTGGCCTGGAAACCGTGAATACTGACCGATCATTGTGTTTGCACAACGCAGTCGCCCATATTCCAATGGTCTAAAGAGGCGTTCACGGCGCCAACGGTCAGCCCCGCGAGTCATAAACCGACTGATGAGATCGTGAAACCCACACAGGTGTGGGATTCACGGTTTCATCAGGCGACTTTGGGGGCACGGTGTTTATTCACGATTTTCTTATTACTTCAGATTGCACGTTTGCGTTGAGATAATTGAAAAATAGTTTACAGGGACATGTATCTCGCCGAGCACTATCAAAATGTGCACCAAAAAAAAAAAAAAAACGATTTTCGAAATTTTGTGGAATTCACGGTTTTATCAGGCGACCGACAAAGTGTTACATTCACTGTCACTGTCTACTGATTTGATCGCTGTTGTTATTCTTCGATGTTAGATAACTGCTCTTTCAAATGGTCACTGACTCATTCTATAACGATGCTTGAGAACTGAAATATGTAATGTGTCGTACAATCTGTTCATTCTCTTATAATCCCCCTGATATAATATACCAACAATATTGGCGTAATCATCGTTCAAGGTTTGGCAGATTTATCAGTGTAAAGTAAAAGTAAAGTTGTTCCCGCATCTGATCTGGACATTGGGGATTTCCTTGTTAGTGAGACAACTTCCAAGGCCTTCGGCACATTGTGGTAGGGAGGCCAAATCCTTTCCACGCAGCCTTCCCTTCCCCAACTCGAAGTCAGTACCCAGTACTGTTGGGTGGGCAGGAGGTGGCGAAAAAATCCATCTCCGAACCGTGTATTACACAATATTCAACTATTTGTGGAGGATCCAGATTGGTGATCAGCGTATTTCCAGTATTTGGAGGATCTACGATGTAGGCGTCATGTATGTAATATTCTTGTTCATGCGATCATACAAATTGCAACACGTGTACCTACCTGACTGGTGGCTGACGTGCCTGACGTGATACTTTGTTGAGACACCCCACTTTGCACTGACGTCACAGATGTCTCTGACGTCAGACTGGGTGTGAAAGACGTTTGGCTTGTCACCGAGGTGACTGACGTCTCTGATGATGCAGATGTTGTCCTGAGCACGAGGGAGGGGGGGGGGGGGGTTGGTAATGATAGATGGACAGAGTTGATTAATCAATGAATTTATTTATTTATTTATTTATTTATTTATTTATTTATTTATTTATTTATTTATTTATTTATTTTGTGTTTGCTTTCTCTATTCAGTTTTGGGGTGAAGAGATTTCACTAAATCCTAAGCACGAAAAAGTCACTTCGAAGGCCCACCCTCAGAAAAAATAGTGTGCAGTAATTGTAGGTCTATGCGAAAATTGATTTATGTCGCCTCGTCAGGTCGGACCCTTGGTTGAGAGATGTAAATGAAAGAGGGAGTATGGCAAAACTCTATCCACATGCACGAGATGTTGTGGGTAATAGTTTCACCCCATGAGCTGGGGGTGTTGTGTCTCGTCCTTTTATTGATGATATAACGATTTTGATGTTACTGGCACCTCACAAAATCAAGGGAGTTATAATTTTACGGTAGTTGGAACACAATTAGGTCCCATAAGAATTAAAGGTATTACCGTACTAAAAAGGTAACAGACACACAAAAGAAGAAGGAGAGGACGATAGATAAATTTGTTAGGAGACAAACCGCACCAGCGCACCCGCTAATCACCCATTATGGCGCATTCATGTCTTTATTTGCATTTTCCTTTTTCTTCCAGTGCTTCATTATTTCTTTTCCTCCTTCTGTCCTATATTACCTCCCCTCGTTTGCTTCATCCCCCCTTCACCTCTGTATCCTTTTCTTCAATCTATTCTCCTCTTTTATCCCCCCCCCTTCCTCCTCATCCTCCTCCTCCTTAACATCCTCTTCCTCTTCCTCGTCATCATCATCATCATCATCATCATCATCATCATCATCATCATCATCATCATCATTATCATCATCATTATCAGCGCTTTCATTCCTCCTCCTGATTAATTTCCTCCACGTTCTCTCTTCCTCACTCTAAAATAAAATGAAATAAAACATGAATAAAGTAAAAAGATATGGAATAAAATAAAATAAAATAGAATACAATGGAATTATGAAATAAATAAAAAGAAAACAATTTTTTTAGATATGTATATAAAAAATAGCAGTCCTGTCCAGCCTCTACATCTCCTTGCTCTGCCTCTTTCAACCCCATCCTTCCCTATCTGTCCCTTGCGCCCTCACCCTTCTTGTCTTTTTCCTGTTCCTTTTCCTGTTCCTTTTCCTGTTCCTTTACTCCCCCCCCTTCCACAT